GGTCCCATTTCTACATGTGGACCCGGCCTCACGTACATCAAGCATAAAAATTGACAGCTCAAGGGTCCGGCACAATGGTTCAACAGGCTGACCTTCAAATTCCAAGTATCAGGATTCCATACAGGAACCAAATAGTGTCCAAAATGTTCCACTTCCCATATAAGTCCCTGTTGGGTGGCCTGGGAAAGAAGTGGAATATGAGCCAAGTCCTTAGTACCCTGCACCCATTCAGTAGGCCAGGAAGAATCTCCTGGCATATTTTTTTTTAAATAAATAAACAAATGTGAAGATAAATATTTTAAGTCAAGTACAACTCCTGGTACATAGTAAGTATAAAAAAAAATTGACAGCAAATGCTGCTCATTGGTGCTACAGTCACATAAACCAATAAATTGGTTAACCTGTCTTTTGTGACAAAGGTGTTGGCAATAAACCTTTAAGACACATGAGGGAAGGCTTTTCTCTAATATCTATAATTTTAAAAATAAGAATGTAGGGACGTGCACAGTGACTAAATGGGTTAATCATCCACCTGTAGTGCCACAATCTCATATTGGGTGCCAGAATCCCATATCGGGTGCCAGTTCAAGTCCTAGCTGCTCCACTTCCCATCCAACTCTCTCCTGGGAAATCAGTGGAGAATGATCAAATTCCTTGGATCTCTGCACCCTTGAGGGAGACCCAGAAGAAGCTCCTGTACCCTGGCTCCTGGCTTCTGATTGAGTCAGCTCTGGTCATTGTAGCTATTTGTAAAGTGAACCAAACAATGAAAAATCTCTGTCTCTCTCCCTCTCTTTCATTCATTCTCTCTCTGGACAATCTACCTCTCTAATAAAAATAAATATTTCTAAAAAAAAACCAATAAGAATGTGATTTTTGAGTGACCAGTAACTTCATCTAAGCAAAAGCATAGCTAAAATTGAAACCAAAAATTCAGAAAAGCAGAATCACTTTTTGCAAGCTCCCATTTCTACTGGCCCACAGTATGTACTGATATTTTTATTCCTTGAGATTTTCACTGCAACGATGCACATAATCTGTTTTCTGTCTTGTGATTCCCAGCTGCTGGGTTGGCATCCTTCAGAAGGTAAGAGAAGCAGTGTGTGACTCATTCCATCAAAAGGAATTGGAAAAGAAACAGAGAAATGTGCTGCTCCTCTTATACCTAAGGGCATAAAAAGAAACCACAGAATCTGATTCGTGCCTGTAAGTAATCTAGCCTATATTCCAGAAATGTAAAATTACAGTCAGCTGAACATGCACATGCACCCAGGATAGATTATGTAGTGACAATGTATGGGTGTCCATAGAGGCCTAGCTCAGCCAAGACTCTTGCTGTAAAGACACCCTACAACTCGTGCCCAGGTTAATTTAATCTCTCAAATAGCTGCAACGATCACCATAAAAACATAGCCCTCTTGAGGTCAAGAAAGCATCTGCTGGACCTTAGGAAGAGTAGGAATATTCTGCATCTCTTTAACCAACAATTGTGAGCGTGTGTTAACTGTAACTAGATACTTTTCAATATGCAATGGTGAACTCTTAGAATTTAAGTATGAATAATAGCAACATGTAAATCCATACTGTTTTAAACCCCAGGCTGTTTACCATGTAAGAAAACCTGTAGGAAAAAAGACTGCAACACTGTTAACTCAAAAGCAACTGACTGAGTTAAACAAAAGTTTGGATAAAAATTCATTAGTGTCGGTTTAAAGACCAATGCTCTAAATGTCAGTTTAGCTGATAAGACAAAAGAATAAATATCTGGGCCTGACCTGGTTACTAGAGTCCTTCCCTAACATGTGCCAGAATCCCATAAGGGCATTTGTTCATGTTCCCATTGCTCCATTTCCCTTCCAGCTCCCTGTTTGTAGGCTGGGAAGGCAGTGTAGGATGGGCCAAAGCATGGGAGACCCAGAAGAGGCACCTGGCTTCAGATCAGCTTTGCTCCAGCCTTTGTGGCCACTTAGGGAGTGACTCAGCTGATACAAGTTCTTTCTGTCTCTCCTTTGCTCTGTGAGTCTGCCTTCCCAATAAAAATAAAATAAAGAAAAATATCTTAAAGTTGCTCTATGGAAGATAGCGAGCCCCAACTTAAATGTCATAAATGCACTTAATCAGAGATAAACAAATCTTTACATTAAAGGAATCTTTGAACTAGGTAGACCTTGAGATGGAAGTGGAACAAGTGGAAAGAATCTAAAAAGATAAGAAGAGAGGGATTTGAAGGTAACCAAACTGGTGAAAGAAAGAAAAAGAACTAAGTGGTGAAAGAGAAAAAGAAAGACATAAAGAAAGGAAAAGGAGAAAAAAAACAGCCAAAACACCAAAATATTATTTATTTGTTAGTATCAGGATACACACAAGGTCTTTATTACAAAAAGACACAGAAGCAACAGATTTTTCAATGTCTGGAACCTAATGCAATGGGGAAGCAGTGACACTTTCCCCAAAGTTATTGATTTTGGAGAATGACAGAATTTATAAATTAGGACAGAAAAAAACTAGAGTTAAAAAACTGTTTACAAACCAATGAGTAAAGAAGTAAATACGAGAAATGTGAAAATAAAAGTTGCTAAGATTTCTTTACACATTAACTTGCAGGTATTTGACCCGGTGGTTGGGCTGCCAACATCCTAGATTGGGATACTAGAATTCAAAGCTCAACTTCACAGTAAATTATATCTTTGCAAATATACACCCTAGGAGGCTTCCCGACATCTGACAGACTCAGATCGAAGTCATGGGTTCAGTTACCACCGTTGAGAACCGAAAGATTGGAGCCTTCTTCTCTCTTCCTCTCTCTTTTACTCTGTCTCTCCTCTCTACTCCTCTCCCCTCCCTCCAGCTCAAACACACGCACACATAAACATATTTAGAAAAAGTAGTTGTGAGAACCAAACCTCCATGAAAAACCATTAGTATACCCTACCACCTCCAATTAAAAGGTTTCAGGAAATGAAGAAGGGAGACATAAATGACTTCAGATTGGTCGCGAAAAATCAATTGTCTCAAACATAAATCTCACATACATAACCCTCCAGCAGGTGAGACACAATGCAAATGTTTTTCAAACTTTGCATGAAAACAAGTATTTTGTCTCTTGCACTAATACTACATTGGTATTTAACATCACTTGTATAGTAATTAGAAAACACAGAGGAAGATGTAAACAACCTCAATTCCGTTGAATCTAAGGACAAGTCAAGGCACAGGGAGAGGATTGCAAATTGACGCAAACCACAACAAACCTGGAAGGGCATTGCTGAATGATGAGCTTATTTGCTTTTCTTGCACTGCTAAGGACTTGTGAATCACATAGTTCAAAATGGACCTAAAATAGAAGTACATGATTTTTGCTTCTTAAAGTCTGAAAAGAACTAGAAAGAGTGTAAGGAACTTCGGCCATTTTCCAAGTGATAAAAGAGATGGGGAGCAGAAAATGGCAAGGAATTAAGACATCTAAGAATGAACCCTGTAATGTGCTGACAATAAAAGGTCATTGATGGTTTTTTCACTTTTCCAAGTCACAATCTTCTTAACTTTATGAAGTTTATCTATACTTAGTCCTTGTTTTATAACCTTACCCAAATCAGACAATTACAGATGTGCTTTGTAAATCTTAAGGCAGTAAACAGGCATTTTTAAATCCACTTTCTACATGCATAAATCTCTTCCGTATCACTCTTCATCCAAAGCCTACCTCTTTCACCACTGGACACTAAAACCTTCCTATGTCTGCTGCTTTATCTTTCCCACTCTGTAGCTAAATGTGCTATTTTCAAAAAGATTGAGTACTATTACAGACGCGTCTGTTTGTTCAGATCTTCTTATCCAAATCTCACAAAAAGGTTTTTATAAATTTCTCTAGAAAGAAGAAATAATGACATTCAGATGCAGTTTCGAAAACACTGAACTTCTGCTGGTGGTTCCCCAATTCTCCCAGAGATACAAATAGGATGAGAAGTGCAACAAATCATTACTCATTAAGAAGTAACCCAGAACTGAGGTGAAGACACATTTCAACCTGCAGTCACGGCATCTGGGCTCTCTGGACCAGTAGCTCGTGACAAATCTTGGGCTGTGTACTATATGGACAGTCTTACATTTATACACACAGAATATGTGTAACACAATCAGAAGACAATAACATTGAAATAGTGAGGTGTGCATTGTGGTGCAGTAGGGGAGTTGCTGCTTGGGATGCCACCGCAGCATTTTGAGGTGCATGGTTCCAGTCCAGGCTGCTTTGCTTCAGGAAACAGACCACACAGTGAATACTTGGGTTTCCACCCACATACGAGACTCGGCGGATTCCTGGTATGGGACTTCATCCAGTCCTAGCCATGCCTGAAGCAGGCACTTGAGGATTAAACCAATGGATGCTTAAGATCTGTCTCTCCTTACCTCTACATCTCAACCAGAAAGTAGCAGTTCTATAATGAATGGCAGTATGCAAAGGAACTATGAAAAGTTCATGAAAAATTTGACCCATGTTTAACTGGCGAGAAATCTCTTGAAATCCACATAAGGTTTACTTGACAGGAATTTGAAGACATGTGTATGAACTTAACACCAAATAAAGTCCAGTATCATGTTTAGCAATCAATGTCAGGTTTAAGGACTCGAATAAGTGTAAACTTTATTTCAGAAAAATGCAATGACCATGAGAATGAGTTATTCATAAGTCACAAATGTGCTGAAAACCACTATGATCAGCAGCTTGTACTCCTAAGAAATGTTCAAATGTACTGAACAGGTGACACTTCCTCAATCCCCAGCAACTGTCACAACCCGCAAATCGTCAGGATTTATACTAAAATTCTTTCCACTTTCCCTAAACATAATCCAAAAAAGGCTCTTTCAAAGCCACAGCCTTTCGAACTATGTCAGCTTCCCGATAAAGCTGTGCTTTGTTGCGCCCTCATTCACTAGGCCTGGAGCCCTGGCTGCCAAGAGGAAGCAAAGTGAGAACCTAAACTGCAATTTACACTTATACCTTAAGAGCAAAGAAGCTTTATGTAAATTTAGGCGGCACGGCGATCCAAAGATAATTTAAGAGTACAAGGCGGGAAAGGGGAAGAGGAGGGAGACTGCAGCAATGGGAGGAGCAGTCTGCTGCGGCTTGGTATACGGTTTTAGCCAGTCCGATTGGTGTAGTAGCATTTTTTCTGAACTCAAGCAAACAAGTCAAGGCGAGTTCTGATTGGTGAAATCCAAAAACCCCTGCCAACCCAATCAGCAAGGTCCAGTCGGTAACGCCTCCCGCCAACCGACTTTATTTCCAGCAATTGCAGACAAAAGCCGGGGATAGTAAATGAAAGTTATAAAGTGTATGAAACCAGATTAACAGTTTGTCTCCTGCACGATGCCAACTACGCCACTCAGCGAGCGTTCTTGTGGGAGGGAAAGATCTGTTAAGAGTATCAGGTCTCAACTAAAATGGGAGACACCTTGTCACAGAAGGGTGGCTATCGCCAATGGACAGTTACCAGCCTTTCTAGCTAGGGAGGACTAACGTGCAGTTTTTGCAAGTCAGCCAGATCGCTAATAGAAGGCGCATGCGCCTAGAGCTAAGTGCAAAAAAAAAAAAAAAAAAAAAGCAGCTAGCCAATAAAACGCAGAGCGCCGGTTTCAAAAAAAATTAAAAATGCTTACTCAAGTTCAGTTTCATCCAGGCACAACGATGGCTCAGCCCTTTTCAATGATAGCTCTGGGTGGCTCTGAAAAGAGCCTTTTGAGATTTTTGAAGCAGAACGCTCCGGACAGAAAGTTTACTTCTTCTTGGGGGCAGCCTTCTTCGCCTTCGCAACCTTCGGCTTGGTCGGCTTGGGCTTAGAGGCCTTGGGCTTTGCAGCTTTGGCCTTTGCGGGGCTCTTCGCAGCTTTCTTGGGTTTGGCCGCTTTCACCTTCTTGGGACTCTTGGCCACCTTCTTGGCACCAGCAGCAGCTGCCGGCTTCTTCGCCTTCTTCGGGGTCTTTTTGGCACTCTTCTTAGGGGTGGCAGTTCCGGTCTTCTTGGGCTTCTTGGCGGAGACTGCAGCTTTCTTGGGTTTGGCCGCGCCCGCCTTCTTAGGCTTGGGCTTGGCTTCCCCGGAAGCCGCCTTCTTGTTGAGCTTGAAGGAGCCGGAGGCGCCGGTGCCCTTGGTCTGGACCAGGGTGCCCTTGCTCACCAGGCTCTTGAGCCCCAGCTTGATGCGGCTGTTGTTCTTCTCCACATCGTAGCCGGCGGCCGCCAGCGCCTTCTTGAGCGCGGCCAGGGAGACCCCGCTGCGCTCTTTGGAGGCGGCCACAGCCTTGGTGATGAGCTCGGACACCGGGGGCCCCGACGCCTTGCGCTTGCCAGCAGCTGCGCCCGCCTTCTTCACCTTCTTCTTCACAGGTGTCTTCTCCGCAGGTGCGGGAGCAGCAGGAGCAACAGGAGCGGTTTCCGACATTTTTCTATTTTGCCAGGAAATCCAAAAGTAAGCAGAGCCTATCGGAGCGGCGTGTCTCCTGCGCCGGCGGCAGGGGTTTATATAGACACAAGCTGAATGGTGATTGGTTCCCTGCTCCTGCGCCGAGCTCTGCTGAAGGACTCCTGGGCACTGCCTTGTGGCTGTGTTTGTTGCCCCTTAAAAAAGGATAAAAATATAAGAAACATGGGCACGAAAACATTGGGGATTCAGGGGAAACGGATCCAGGAGTCCTCGGGCTTCGTTTCTGCTAGATTTTCTATAGTTACTTTCAAATCCGACTCCCCGAAACTTTCCTAAATCCCCCAACTGTCTTTCAAAGTTCGGTCAAATTGAGACAACTTTCAGGTTTTCCTTAAAAATACTGCTTCTTTGTTTATCCTTTGCGAGAATTTCTTTCAGGGCATTGTTCAGCGACTTCTTATCTTCTGAACTTTGCAGACACGAAAGAATATTGATTCGGATGAATAGGGAAAATCAGTTTTTTCGCGGAGGCAATAACACAGTCTCTCTCACGAGCTATTTACACCAACCTCTAGGAATTGGCACTAGGGCAGAAAGTTCTACTTACAGGAACGATCAATATTTCAGGTTATTTTCATCTTTTTATTTAAAAAAAATATATTTAAAATACTAATGTGTGAACTGGACTTCATCCCCATCCTTTTCTGATTTGAAATACTGTGGTAAAGATGGGATGAGGCTGCTTCATTTGTCTCCCACGTAAACAGGTCTGCACAGTTTTTAAGGTCTAGAATGAGTTTTCAATATCGAACACCACCTCTCTTACCAACAAAAACAAAAACAAAAAAAAAAGGGAAGAAGAAGAAGGAAGAAAGAAACGACAGGAAGTAATACAATGGAAGATCCACTGCAATTTCTCAGATATGGGCTGGCACACTGAAGAAGCACACGTCTTCCTGTTCCATATTTTCAAATTGGAAACTATTGAATTATGCCCTCTCCATCACATTCCCTTTCCTTGTTTCACCTGGTAACTTTGTGTACATTGTCCATATTTGGAATTTTTACTTAAAAGGCAGACTTTAGCATTCCAAGTGTGCACACAGAATTGGAAAGAAAAGGCTTCTCACTGAGATTATCATGTAAATGTAATAAGTTTCTCTGATATTTTCACCAAAGGCTATGAATTAGGTGTCACAACACAAAGTATTTAGCTGAATATACCCACCCAGAGAACTAAACAAAGCAGAACTTAAGTGACTGGTTTCATTTAGCAAGCCTCTTGTTTTGTTGCATAGCTGAGTACAAAGAAATAATATCCCTAATAAGCAATCAGGAAATGAAAAGAAAACCACACATTTGCTAGCATAAACCAGCAGCAAAAGTATTTTGAAGTTACATTCCTTCCACTGAATGCTACTGCCAAAAATGCACTCCCAAGTACATCCAATCAAGAAAAGGAGATTTTTGTAAATCTGATAGTATTAGCAGTTTTAAAAAGGTCACCTGTCTGCATTGAATTAATCACATAGAAATCACTTGGCTCAAGAACTTCTATGACTTCAAACCATGCTGTCTACTGATCACGAAACAGATAGATTTTAACATTAAACATGCAACATTCAGGGATTTCTCCCCAAGGGAGCATGTGTCACCCGAACCATCTCTGTCACCAGCATTGGCACACAAAATCAAGCAGGCCCTTTTCAGTTTTAGTCTCACAGCTTTACACTCGCCAAAAAAAATAAATAAATAACTACATAGATACATTTAAAAAGTACCATGAAAACTCACATTCCATACCCAACTGTGGGTAATATCATAGTAATAATTGGACAGTAATTGTAGCAGGGGCTCACCAAGTTACATTTGCAACTTAGTTACGTAGTACATTCTTGACTACTTAGAGCTTGAATGAGTAAAAAGGTACTAGAGACCCAGGTCCATGGATAATCAGCACCTCCTAGAGTTCAATAACTCAGTTCTCCTTCACCAGTAAAATTCTCCTGCACATGTTTAGAGGTAAGTTGTTTCATAACGCATAATGCTACTATTACACCTCTTTCCCCATAGTCACATGAACTATGTCCAGAAAGGCTGATTCAAACTCAGTGAAGAAAAACTCAACCTGTTGCTAGTTGGCTGTCAAAAAACTTGTATTCATTACAAATGAATCCAAAATGTATGCATAAGCAAACCTGAAATAAATTATCTACACTACACTAAATCCCACACCATTTATTTTACAGAAGTGAAAAATAGACGGGAAAAATGTAATTAGATATTTGCTGACTATATTATGGCTAACTTATGACCTAATGCTTCATTTTGTGTCATTTATGTTCCATTTTGTGTTTGCTACCAAATAGTAAAGGAGGACGGGAGACATTGTCGCTGCGCAGTAAGGACATCCCACGAGAATTTCGCTCAAGCATTCACTTGTGGCATGGCCCTGGCCATTCACCTCTAAGCACACCTCTGCTATTTTCATTTTATTTCCTTAAAAGGACATGACTGCTTGCAGACTTCCAAGTTCGTTTTGACATGACTGTTTAGTATCTGCCAGACTCAGAAGTTGGCAGAGTTGTTGTTTTGCTCCAAAAACAATCACACACCTCAATTCCTGGAGATCTCAATCTTCAAGCATCCCCCTAAACTTCTCCAATCTTGACTGGGGTCTCCTCGCAAGAAAACCCCTGTCAAAGCACAGTCCATTAGAGGCTTCGCCAAGGACAGAAGTATGCTGTGTCTGTGGGGCCTAAGAGCCAACATCCACCCGTGTCTATGAAGCACATTTAGGTGCTTGAGTGACTAGAGAAACATACTTTAGATCTTTAACGATTGACATGTAAGCAAGCAATTGTGTAAAACAGCTAATATAGACAGGATGGATGGAACATATGACAATCTGTGAAAAACCTTTTATTTGCAACGATTTGTAGTTTGCAGTGGAACATAAATGAGTGAATGATGCTTATGCCTCTATGCCTAAAGATAAACCAGCCTAATTCAAATCCCAAGTCGACTCTGAGTCCAAGAAATGAACTACAGATAAACACCAGCAAAAAAGGGACCATCAGGATTATCTATGTAAAACACATGGGGCACTTCTGTGAATGCATGGGATCCACTAAAAAGAGCAACCCATGATCTATGTATAAAGGATGGCTTCACTGGTTTCATTTCTACACCATAAAGTGACCAGGCAATTTCTGTTGGTAGCCTCAATTTTCAGTTCCTGAGATTTCATTAACCCTTTCCTGGTAGGGAAGCCATGAGAAGTCAAAGCATAGAGTCAGGCCCAGCAACGCCTCTCATTAGGAAGGATTCAGTGTCCAAGGTCAGGACATCTCACCTCGCAACGCAGACAACACTGATAGCACTGTATGAGTTGGGGGATAAGGTAATTAACATTGGCTTTCCTTCCTAGAGCTTCCTTTATGAAGAATGCTGAAAGTGAGGCGCACGCATGAGCGTCTGTCAAACGTAGTGGTTCGTGACCACTCAAATTTAATAATGAATACGAGTGGATTGTTCCAAACCAGAGTAACCTTTACACTTATCCAAGGTATGTCTCCCTAAAATTTTTCTTTATTCTGACCTCTGTCCTTTCTGCAGGCAAACGTAACATTATTTTCTCTTCTGTGCAAATTGCCAGACTGGGAGGATACCAGTACATCAACTTCCTGGGTACTCACAGGCGGGGAATGGGAGACAGAAAACAGCCAAGTGAACAAAGGACTCAAGCAGCAAGCGGCACTAGTTCACGTTCCCTCACCAGTCCTTCCCTCTGCCTCCCTTGGCAGGAGGCGGGGACAGCGGCGGAGGCGGGAGGCGGGGAGGCGGAGACAGACCTCTCGTTCCCGCCCTCGCCTAATCGGTTTCCAAAAAGGTCCGCCGCGTTGCTATATAAGGGCCTACAGCGACCAGAAGAACGCTGTGCAGGTTCTTAACTCAGCATGTCTGGTCGCGGCAAGGGAGGCAAAGGCCTTGGCAAAGGCGGCGCCAAGCGCCACCGCAAGGTGCTGCGCGACAACATCCAGGGCATCACCAAGCCCGCCATCCGCCGCCTGGCGCGCCGCGGCGGCGTCAAGCGCATCTCGGGCCTCATCTACGAGGAGACCCGCGGCGTGCTCAAGGTCTTCCTGGAGAACGTCATCCGCGACGCCGTCACCTACACCGAGCACGCCAAGCGCAAGACCGTCACCGCCATGGACGTGGTCTACGCGCTCAAGCGCCAGGGACGCACCCTCTACGGCTTCGGCGGCTGAGCTCCCTTATTTGCACAATGTGGCTCATCAAAGGCCCTTTTCAGGGCCACCCAGTTGATCACAAGAAGTGCTGTTTACACGACTCGTGGGAGGTAACATTGTGTATTTTAGTTTGGTGGGCCGCCTTACACTTAGTTTTGAAAGTGCAACATTGTAGGTTTACAACCAAGATGGCGATTTTCGGGGCTGAACAAAGGGGAGGCTGTGGTTCCGGCAGGAGTGGAACTGCGCTACACAAAGCTACATTGCTTTTGTGTTTGAATTCTCAGGTTTCTTGGGATATCTTTGCTGAAGTAAACTTGCTAACTTTTGAGAAAAACCGGTGCTGCCATGTTAGGGGTTAGTACAGATGGCACCATTAGCTACAACAATCGGCTGCATAGTCATTGCAAGTCTGAGGGTCTGTTAAGCGTCAGCCATGCGCACATTATGTGAAGTTTTTCTCAATTTGAAACGCTATAGCCAAGTTTGAAGAGTAGGGAGACTGTAGACTATGGTTTAACTTCTCAACGTCTTTGGTTAATTCTTTTGATGGCAAATCTCTCCAGAGGCTTCCCTTAATATGTTTGATCATCTTGAGAGAATCCCTACTCAAATTCCTCGGCCTATCAAACAAGGGAGGAACTGAAACTATTCATGTTGACCAATAGCATAATTGAAAATTTTACTATTCTCATTTAAATCTTTCCTACCTGCCCAATTCAGAATTTACAGCCATTTCTAGCCTAAACCCCATGCTCAGTCTGGCCCTTTCATTTCCTTTTATGATTTTTCTTATTGATTCACTCTTGGATTTCTGTCACAGTTGTTCTCAGAGT